AAAATTAACGCCTATTTTGTTACTTTTTGGTAATATCTTGAAAGCGCGTCTAAATTAGGCGAAAAACGCCTTATATTTTTAGAAAACTTAAAAGCTTTTTTAATAGCTCATATATTCACGAAATCGAAATAATATTTTACAAAAAATATATAATTACAATGATGGCCGACTAATATGATACTTTACTGTTATGTATTACGCAAACACAACTGCAAAGAATGAGCTTTTAACATAAAAAGCAATTCGTTTAATCTTTCTTAAATTAGCGCTGTTGTGTGGTCGTATGGAGCTGTTGAGGCATTTTTTTGCTACTGTTAACAGCAGACATGAGCATGAAGGCTGCATATAATTTTATTTAAAATGGGGTTAGTACTGCTGCATTAGTCTGCTGAGCACGCTATAGCTCTTTGAGAAATAATCGGATTGGCTCTAGAGCTCTAATGTACCAAACTACGTGTACATGATATATTTGCAAGGTTGAAAAAACCTGTCTTGACTTGGATGCTGACTGATTTTTGGAACGTTTTTAAAATCATAGAAGTATTTTACAGATACATCAAACGTAGCAATGTAAGGAATTGAAATTTACGTTTAAAGCAGTTAAAGCAAACACATAATATTAATACTCCCAAATTATTACTTAGGGAGTCTTGTCACTTTATTCAACATGCAAAGTCTAAAAAAGAAAGTTCTTACACATATTGTTCCCCTAATTACATTGCTTTTAGTAAAATTACTTTATAAATATTCAGACAAGGTAAAAAGTTAATAGCGCGATATCGAGTTGGTTAATCGCAAATTATACGTGTTTTACATGTGCATTAATGTAGGAAACGGTCAGAGTTCGCTTGCACTCTGGTAATAATATAATTACTGCATATGTTACAACAGGGATTATTCACCATGACTTGAAGTTTGTGCTCTTTACTCACAAACCCTATACGTGGTGGATCAATTCATCTAGACATATGAATTACTCGAAGGGTCAAAAAGTGTTATTATATTTAAAGACAAACTACTAGCCTACCCACCTAGTTTCGCAAAGCTAATTAGCCGTAATCGCAATTACGGCCAAACTATATCCAAGTTATTTTTAGGAAAGACCTCCTGTGACCAGTTTTACCACCAATACATACGGAACCTTTACATGCGGAATACGTTAATATCAATAATTTTATGGTAATAATGCCGCCCCGCCATTGAGAACACCTTAAGACTCGAAGCAGTAGACGGCATTACATAGCAGTTACTATTTACATCGACTAATTTACACTCATACTTTATTATATACGAAGTTGTAGCCGAAGTCCACAGTGTAGCTTTAAGTGGAAGCGAAGATGGCGGCGTTCGCCCCTCTAATTACCGAGATCAAGCCGATAGCGCAGGCTTTTATCTCGAACACTCTTCCATTAAGCAAATATACAGCTTTATACCTCGCTAATTATATACCACAACATTTTCCAACTATAAAAACCAATTAAAATATTTTGATAGACAAAATAAATTGTAATTACGAGTTATGCCATTTAGTTTTGTTCTCAGGCCTTAATGGATTGTTATTTGTAAGTCAAAGCAAATATGTTTGCTTCCGCAACAAACGCGCTTTATCTCAATGTTTTATTTTAATTTATGCGTAGAGAAACTATTGTTTTGTTAAGTCAAAAAAGCACAAATAGCAGATTGTGTAAGCTTAATTTCAGTTAGATGTTAAAAGTTGACAGAATGTTATCAAGATTGCGTGGGTAATCGGTGAAATACGGCACTATGTTTTTCATACTGTCTGCTTTATTTTTATAATTACGTTTAAACATGACAATGTATTTCAATATACAAAATTAAATATGGGTATTAGAGCGCAAGAAAGTCGGAGGGTAAAAGCCCGCTTTGTCGTTGGCTAATTTGCGAATTAGCAGTGCAATGAGTGCTGGCACTCAAGCACAGTAATCAAATTCATTAACCTTTGTCGCTTGCACTAACTTGCCCGTTTCTCACACCGTGCCAACACTGCCAACGTTTGGAAACTTTGTCCGGGAAGCTTTGACTAGGGGAGCCCCGGACGTGAGACTCGGTTTACTAAATATAATTTGCATAGCATCTCCCGCCAATTTGCACACAGAGCCGTAGTATAAAGATTAATTGACAAAGATTATTTTCAATGTAGTTACGAGTAAGTAGGTAAGTTAGGAACTATCGATGACCTCAACAAATTGTTACCTTATTAAAAACTACTTTTAAAACTTCGCAAGACCTCGGTAATATTCTTTCTTCTACGTACCTACTTAACTATTCAAACTAATTTCCTTACGTAAAAATCGTAGTAAATAATCCCCAAATACAAACAAAAGACTAATTGGGTCAAGTCTCTTCGATTCGAGTCAAGATATCGAGTGCATGTCGAGTCCCACTAGTGTACTTCCCGGGCATACAACACTAATGTTATTTGGACACGTCTAATGGAGTAAGTGCTCAGCAAATGGCCCGCGCACGGAGCTTTTAATGCAATTTCGCTCCCTTTGTGACGCGAATTGGCGCAATCAATCCATTTACACTTTGTTTCGCCAACATTGCCACTACCCACCACCGCCACTCTACCGCTCCCCACTTGCTACCTTTACCGCATAGAGGCTTTTAGCGCCAACTAAATGGCCTCGCTTTTTCCACTATCCTGTCGCAGGACTTTTTTTGACGTGAAATGTTTCATTTAATATTTTAAGTTTTAAAAGTGTTCGTATACGATTTTTTTATCATTTCAAACACAGAACATTTTTTATGTATTACAACTTTTTGTTATGTTGACAATGATTCCGTGACTTTTAGTTTGACATGTTATATGCCTTCTAGAGGTTATTTATCGTAAAGAAAATACGTTTATAAACCAAAATAATTATCGGTTTGTTCGTTTGTTGAAAATGAAGAAAACGAATTGGTATAATATAATAAACCGTAACAATGAAGCAATTTTCAATGGTAACAATAGACTGTTTTTTTGTAAAAGGCGTGATAAACACAATATTGTATTGATTTTACAATAGTCAATCATTGACTTGTTTCAGATACGAATCACACATCTCGCAGTACAATGATTGGTCCAGAATTGTTTATAGACCGTCTCTGGTTGAATGACGAGGATATGACAGGTGGCGTTCAGATTATAGAGCTGAAATCCTCCGATGGTTCTGATGCTTCACAAGATAAAGACAAAGACGACCAAGATAATGCCCAGACAAACAATTATGACCAGTTTCAAATAAACGATCCACGTAGCGTTAATACGAGCAATGCGAGAGAGAAAAGACGTCTGAAAAACCAATCGCCACAAAATCCGAACCAATTTGAAGAAAAAAATGTAAATTACAATGTGTTTGACAGCACCTACAATAATGATAGTTTTTATAAAGAATTTTACGCTTCCGGCAATAATAACAAGGACGAGAATGTCGTGATAAACCACCAAATGAACTGTTTCACTATTCTTGATAAACATTACGCAGTTATTTCCGACAACTCTTCGGAAGAAGACTTTGGTAATATAGAAGTAATTGACTGTGATAATCTGCCCCCAGAGTACATTTTAAATAGTTGCACTCGTGAAGCAGATCGCGTCCCCTACGACGTTGAAGCAGATATAGAAAAGCGTATGGTTTGGATCTATTCTTTTAAAAACAAACGGCTTTTATCAGACAATGACTTCGAGTTAGTAAATATTCCAAGTCAAGATCTCACGACTGAAGCTTCCATAGAAAATGTACCAGAATTAAATAACCTGGATAATAATTGTAGAGTCCCAACGCCAATTCCCTCCACTTTTGTTCCCCGATTAAATCTAACAATGACTTCCAGTTTACCAACTGTAGAGGAGGTAATAGAGCCTTCAGAGCAAAAGTTGTCACCAGAGGCTACAAAAGAGATTCCCAATGACGAGGTCAAACGAAAACCTGTGAACAATTGGTTTTCCAGTGAAAACGCTACATCAACTAGTAAAGAAGAAAATTATACTGGTATCGAGAAATCCAGTAATGTCGTTGATTGGATGGTTCTATCTCCCAGAGAAAAGAGAAGACGACTTATTAGCAGTAGTTGCAGTGATAGCCTATGCAAGTATCAATTTCCAATTTCGTGTGAGATTAATTCCAACAAAGAGAATGTAAACTTTGAGAATACAAATCCTTTTTCAGACCATAATCTATATAATGGTGGAAATGAAAGACGGACACCAATTACAGAAGAGACAACTGATACATCTAAACAAATAATTGTTAAGTCTTCACAAAATACTCATACTCCTAAGCAACAAACAGATGCGTCTAGACAAAAAACTGATACGACAATACAAAAAACGAATACGCCTATACAAAAAACTAATACGCTTAAACGAAAAACTTGTACACCAACAAAACAGGCCGGAAATAATAAAACACTTATACAGAAAAAGGACAATGTAGATTTGGTTCGAACTGTTAGAAGTGAGTCGTCAACACCGCAAGGTTCTACTAGAAGAGAGTTGCATTATTCCAAAATTACTACAATAGAGATAGGAGGTGATCAACAAGACACGCCAGAAGATAGAGGAGACTACATTAAAAGACCTCCACATATTCGTATAAGACCACAACATGTTCCAGGATCTGCGATATCTAACCCTATTGAGAACTTAAATAGTAACGATTGGATTATTGAAACTAGTTCAGAATTTAATAACGACAGTAGGGAAAAAACAAGTTGGCCGAAAGAACATGGTGACGGGGTTGGTAATGTGATATTTATGAAGCATATGTCCTTGTTCAAGCCAGCTGAGTGGGAAGCCTATTTGCCCATTTCGGAAAGTGTTCCATCGTTAAGTCTCTCTGTGAACACACATTCGGAAACCAATTCACGATCTTGGCTGAAACGATTTCAAAAGATTTTTTCATGTTGTAAATAATCAATAATAGAGATATAAAACTTAAATATATTTTGTGATAATAGGTTATGTAAATAAAACTCAGTAAATTTAAATCGGCGAATTTATTAAATTCAATCACTTTCAACTTCCAGTAATTGAAGTACTTAAAATAAACCTGCTTAGGTACTTTGCATAAGAGAACATTTCACAAGACAATAAAATCATCAGCATAATTATGTACACGTTTTTCTATACTATCACATTATGTTACACACAAAAAGTCGTATAGTCTCATATTCAATAATGCATCATGTTATGAAAATAAAACTTTCCATAAATCATAAGATATTCATCAGGAATGTAAAATACCATGCAAATGAGAAATCTGTACGCACTTTGGGTCAGATTAGCCTAAACTATCGTAAAATGCATCAATGTATGCCACATCGTTATCCATTGTAAACACAGTAAATATCACACTCTGATAGCTGAATTATATAGTAACCTCAATCTGAATAATATTCAAGCAAAATCCATAATATATACTGAATTGTCAACAACTGCATAAACTATGACATGAGTATTCATTTTTTAGGTCTACAGCTTAACACTTTAAAAGGCAAATGTAATGCTACGCGTTAGATATAAAGGTACACAGTATTATTTTGTTTAAATATGCCAATACATTTTGATAAGTAAAATTCCGTAATGTTCTTAATTTCTTTGGTGATAATTCTGTATATCTCGATACGGCTATAATAAGATACATATATTCATTTGGAGTCATAAATGTTGACACACTCTGCAGCATGCAATAAGGCGGGAAGCAACGTGCACGTACACCGTACACATATAAAAGAAAACACAATGCGTTGAGACCAGCTCTTGTATAACCTAGGAATGATGTTCCATTCAACATGATTCCTATTTGCACCCTTACCAATTCCAAAGTTAAAAACACCTAAAACGATGGCAACATGATTAATTTTTATATAACCTGAAGGGCAAAATTTCAATCAAAGCCCCAAATAAACGTACACAATGTTTGTACTGTTTACAGACGTTTTAACAGGTCTAAAAAACTCGATCATCCTTTGGAATATAAAATCGAATGACTCGAATTCAACGACCTGTAACTGCGTAATATTTGCGTCGTAATTTAGCGCTCAAAGTATACCGCAACAGCACTATTCCACGCTATATGGTCAACCAACATAACCATTTTGTATGGTGCAGTGGGTGATTCGTTCATTAAACGGGCGACTCTTACACTAACGAATTATTCTGCGTCGCATTCACTAGGAAACTAAATGCCTCGTTGTAACTTGGCTATAGCGTGTGGGCAGGGGTCAACAGAGTGTGGGTCGTCACAAGGCGCTGGGCAGCGCCAGTTCGCGGCGTATGTAGAAGAGGATGTAGGGCTTGCACGACGCGACGGCCTCGGAGTGAGTAGCTCGGACCGTCTGATCATTGAAGTGGAACCATTGCTCCTCGTTGATCGCGTAGGCAGTGTAGTGACCGGAGCCCGCTCTGTGAAATAAATGTCGTCGTTTCATATTTGATTGCAACGGGCTTCTAGAATTACGGTATATCTACATAAAAACCTCTTATCAGGAAGATGGCTTAAAAAGCTGAGGAGCATTTGGCGCTCAAAACCGAAAAATCGTATACCTGCGCAATATTGTTACGTAATGATTATGATATAGATGATATTTAACCAATGCTATAGCTATATGATATATGCTATATAATATATAGCTCAATTTTACTTATTAAGTGTTTTGGATTGGACCACTATTCTTGAATATAGGCGACATGTAAAAGATGTTTTAATGAACAGTTCCCAAAGATATAAACCAACCGTTTTAGTCGACATTCTAAACTTTTTTGGAGGTTACTTTTGGAGGGAAGCCACAACAGGACCGTAGTAATATAATAAGACAAGTAATGTAACTCCATACAAACGTAGTGGAGCGGCTTGTACACGTGCACGCTTGCTCCGCACCGTATACGGACGCACACATTCGTATAATCTCACGGTGCACTAGAGCTGCTCGTCGTGGGTCGCACGGCCCTTTCATTACAAAAAGTTCGCTAGGTGTTTAAAATATTTTTGTCTCAAATTAGTATTTTTTTTACTTATAAATATATAGTTACGTATATAAAAACTCTTATTTCATTTCTATTTCGTGGTCCTACTCCCATAATCGAGATCCTAAACTGCGACATACTACTAGCAGTATGTTAAATATTAATATGTAAGTACTTCACTTGACAAAGGTTATTTCTTTAACGAGCGAGAATATTGTGACGAATACCTCAAATATTTATAATTATGTTTACAGACTGTAGGTACAACTAAAATAATAATGTGACAACCATACACTCCAAGCGACGTATTTAGTAGCAGTAGAGCTCCTTGTGTAAGAGTTCATCCAGGGAAGTACTGCCACCTTACCTTTTTCTGCCGCCAAGCAGTAATGTAACTAGAACTGCGTTCAAGTGTTGTAATGATGCTGGTGAAATTACAGTCACGTGGGACTTGTCAATTTGTGTCTCAGGGTGACGGGCGCAATGGCAGTGCCCCTAAGATCATTGCGATTTTAAGCTCTGAATGGCACACAACTACATGGATATATATTAGGAGATATACAACTGCTATGGATAGGCGTGTCGCTTATCACAAGGCGCACGACTTATTCGTCCCGTCACTTAATAATAAAAAAAAAAGTGTAAGCATTGATAGCCGAACAGGCGTGAGTTACACTACTAGTCGTTTACACTATAACAACTGATTAAAAACATATAAATATTATAAATTATAAAAAAAAAAATTATCGGTGAAACTGAGTGGTGGGGCATTACCCGGATCCATGATGCACGATGACGGCGGCAAGGTCGTACAGGTAGTTACTGAGCCCCGAGCGGCGCGTGTCCGGCACGTTGTGCGGTACGAACCGCGACATGTCCAGCGCGCTCAGAGGGAACGAGATCGACGTGTCCACTTTGTTCCTGCCACGCATCATTATATATCATTTAATCACTACAGACAGTGTGAGTGCATTATATATGTTAATAGTAAAATTAACTTGAGGGATATAAACCCATTCGCCTTAAACTGCAGCATGCAAATTTATTTAATAAATTATTGAAGTTAAACGAGATATCGATGTCTTACTTTCTCAAACTTCTATCTTATAAAGATTGATTATTCGGGAGATGGCAAAACTTTATATTTATTTTAGATTTCTTATCAAAGGTGTTAATTAATTTAAAATAATAATAATAAAAATTAATGAATAGGTAAAAGCAAGTGTGTAAATATGAAGGCAATATGATGCGAAATCAGCCTGCAAAATTTGTATATACAAGCCATTTTTTGCATTTTAGTAACTTTGTGTTTTAAGATACGAGTTTGAGAAATTATTGTAAGTAAGGCGACGATATACTCTTATTGAAATAGACGCTTGATTTGGGATAAAAAATAAATTATTTAATAATTTAGTTGGTACAACTTTAATGTAAAGTTAGTCAAATCTGTTCATCATTCAATAATAAAAAAAAAAAAATAAAAAAATAAAGATTGTAGTAATAACTAATTGTATTGGAAGTAAACATTTTCGATTAAGTAGTGCTTAGGCGACAGATTGTGAATTTCAACATCTCTTTTGTATTTTGCATACTCATATTGCGCGCTTTATTTGATTCAGAATTGTTATAAGTTCCTACCTACTCTGAGCATTTGTTTATTCTTTATATCTTTCTACTTAAATAAAAATAAGAAAAAATAAATACAACCCAACGAACCAATACCTATAGTTGTTATGCCACCGGAACCGCTTGAGATGCAGGCATAATACATTGGGAAGCCTACGGATCCAAAATTGCTTAGTGGACTTCTGCTTGCATTTGCAACTGCTACAGAAGTAACGCTCTGTGTCCGCTAGCTCCTCCACCTGAAATTTGGTACATATTTTTGTTTAAGTAAATGTAAGGGATGGAAAATGGAATAGTTAACTTCCAAAGGGGATAGTAGATAAGCCGCGTTTAAGTAACAAACAATATTCCGTTATGTTACTAAACAGTATTGAGATACCAAAACTTAAAAAAAACCCCGATACAAAACAATGAACTCCAAAAAGTCAATAAAATAAAGTCACCATCTGTAAGGCAACACAACTCGAGCAATAAAAAAACTGCTTCAAGATCAGTTCGTCTGTTTGGGAACTACGATGTCAAAGACAGATATAGCACATGCGCACTACGTCCGATTCGTACCCATTGCGAGTCCGAGACGATCCGAAATGTCACAGGTGTCCGAAGTGTCATTTTATCTCTAGATGTACAAACGATATTCGTAGTCTCGTGACATCCGACGTGGGTCCGAGTTTTCCACATTTGTAGTCTCGAGTTCGAAACGAATACGAGTCAGACGTAGTGCACAAACGTGCATACAGTTACACAGATACATTGACAAAGGCTTCAAACTTATAACTCACGCCTTTTTGCATCGGGGGTCAAAAATACTATAATAACGGGCCTAAACTTATAAATTCAAAAACTGAAAGATCCACTTTTCAAACCGTTTGTATCTGATATATTTCTCTATGTACAATGTTGAACTATGCCACCGTATGTTCTGATCACTGTATTTCTCTATGTACAATGTTGAACTATGCCACCGTCATATATGCTACGGACCCGTGTAACAGATTTATGTTAGCTAACACAATTGTGAATCATACAAACTAAGGCAATATACTATTAGAAAAGTACCTCACGAATTCTGTGAAAAATGTAAAAATTCATACCTGTACGAAGCTAGCGAGGCAGTCCGCAAGTGGCACAGGCTCGTCGTGTCGACCGTTCTCTGGCAGCTCCAGAGACAGGTCCAGAAACGGGTCAAACTTTTTGCTCTCTGTACCACACGCGAGACAGCGCACCTGTAAATTTATTGAAGAATACTTTGAACTCACGCAAAGTCTTCATTTCCAAAATGACATATTAAATAAAAATATTAAGACTATTAGCAGGCTATGACTATGTTGTGTATATTGTCAATAACGCTGGCGTGTTGGTGTTGCTAAACAAGACGGTGGCGAATATACAATCAAGGCGCTTGTACGGAATTACACTAGGTTTATTTTAGAATGTACCTTTTTTATATTATCCAGTGACGGGGCGAACAAGACGTGCAAATATCTGAAGAGCAAGTAGACAAGTTCCATGTGCCTGTAATTTCACCAACACCCTCATCCTTCAAAACCGGAACACAGTAATGCTTACATTACTGCTTGGCGGCAGAAATAGGTAAGGCGTACTTCCCTGGACGAACTCTTTCACAAGGAGCTCTACTGCTAATACTGTTCTTCTAGTTTCCAGACGCGATATGAAGATCATGTTTTTCATATTTGTTTCCTCTTATCAAATATCGGAAAAGGGAAAAATAGTGTGAAATACCTCACTCTGCAGCGTGCCGCCGAAGACGGCTGTAACGATGGAGGCGGATCGAGCACGCGGCACAAAAGTGCCGGCCGCCTCCGCGCCTACACGGTCGCCCGGCACCAACTGCAGCAGCTCCGTATGCAGTCTGCCAGACCGATGATAGATTAAGATTTGATATCTCAAATAGCATGTTTGTCGTAAACATTTAATTCACCAAGAAGACGGTTTAAAATAACTGAATTGTATGACCAAATGACTGACGAATAGTATACCGGTACAATGTTGTCACGTGACAATTTTAACCAAAAGTTCGGTAACAATAACAATAAAATATAGCATACCCAGCTGTAAAAATTGAAATATTTCGGTTTGGGCCACTATTCTTCAAAAGCGATATTATGTCGGATTTTTATATATTTGTGTGTTGCAGTAACAAGATAATGTTCAGAGTAAATGGCAGTTCCGAATCCCATTATATAATTGAACCCTTTTATAACACCTATACATAATTGTTGAGAATATAGTTGTAGAGACTGTTGTGAGGAAATACACGCAGGCGGCCGAAAAATAATGTTACAAACAATAACTACATTGAGTAAAAGCCTATCATAACGTCGAAATTTTTTTGTCCGAAACAACGTTTATTCGAATTTTCATTACATCGAAAACCGAATTATAACGAAATAGTTGTTATCGAGTTCTTAGGTTTTCGCGATTGTTACACATAGGAAATGAAACAATTTTTCCGGATTTAAATCGCGTATATTTGTTTTTTCAAACAAACTGAAGTTTCGGGCCATTTACAGGTCCCATGGTCACGGTTGACTGAGGTGGTACAGTGTTCAACCAGTTATGTCTAATATTGATGCAAACCATCCTATTTTTTCACTATAGTTACAATAGTCCTTAATTAAATACCTTATTTTTAATTTTACAAAGAAAACATTCCAATTTACGCTACATTAAGTTTTATTAAGTTCAATTTATTATTAATTAATAATAGAAATTAGAATAAACTAAAACATATTAATTGGTACTGCAGTCTTATGTGTGTTTGGGATTTTTCATTAGAGGAAATACTGGATCCCAAACTGGTGGTACGGAGAAACCACCTTCCCTGTTGAAATTAGGATGTTTTTTAATTTCAATGGCCTCTCGCAGCATCCTGGGTAGATAACGGACTTCTTTTGCAAGAACCTGGGGTTTGTCAAACTTCATTGAATGTGTAAGTTTATCCATGACATGCTCGCAGACTGCAGACTTGTCTACGCGACGGTGTTTTACATCAGCTATATGTTATTTGACGCGGGTACAAATATTTCGCTTTGTTTGTCCAATATAAGAGAGACCGCACTCACAGTCAAGCTTGTAAACTCCTGCATCCGGTAAGGGGATGTTACATGTCACGGGTCGCAGGAACTGAGAAATCTTCCTCAGGGGCAGGGGCAGGCGCAAGACCTATTTCAAGCCCCTGAGGAAGATTTATCAGTTCCTGAGACCCGTGAAACGTAACATCCCCTTACAGGATGCATAATTTTTGATAATTAATAATAAATTGAACTTAATAAAAAATCATTCAATAAAATATAATTTGTAAAATTTAATGTAGCGTAAATTGGAATGTTTTCTTTGTAAAATTAAAAATAAAGTATTTAATTAATAACTATTGTAACTATAGTGAAAAAATAGGGTGGTTTGCATCAATATTAGACATAACTGGTTGAAGACTGTAACACCGCAGTCAGCCGTGACCATGGGACCTGTAAAGGGCCCGAAACGTCGGTTTGTTTGAAAAAATAAATATACGCGATTTAAATCCGGAAGAAACAGTTGTTCTTTCAGGATATGTTGAATGTTAATCGGAAAAACACGATTAGGTTCGGTTAGGTTAGGTTTAAAAGAAAAAAACATTTTCCTCTCAAAAATTGCTTTCGAGGTTATGAAATTTCGACCAAACGTTATTTCTCGAAATTGTAATTTCGGACTCCTGATAGGTAACCAAAAAAATCACATGTTTATATCACGTAACGCTGATACAATGAAGTATATAAATTGATACACAAATATCAACATACCTATCAAGCATATATCGAAGGAACTCATGTGCATCCTGTTGCTGATACCCGCGGAACCGCGGTACTACCTTCCAGATCACGTGGAACAAGTACTCCGGTGAAATCGCGCCCTTCGACCCGCACCCGCCTTGGTTCAGATTTATTAACACCTACAAATATAAGTGTTATATCACACAACAATAAACAACTTTAATAGAACCCCATGACATCTATTTGAAAAGTAACATTTTTTTATTACACTGCTAATACAAATGTCTATCTTTCAACCATCTTGTACAGAATTGCACTCATATTGTTGTCACTGCTGTTGCAAATTGGCAGGCACCTTGTCTCATTCATTAAACATTTCTGTATTTCAATTTGTATTGGTATGTTTCTGGAGTGTGTTTAAATATAGCACAAACATTACAAATCAAAATGGACATTCTATTCTCAAACATTTTATTTAATTCACATTCATGAATATGTTGCACATTTTGAGCATAATTCTTGATTCACAAGCAACGTGACGAAAATGCAAGTAAAAAATTTAAAAAATTATAATAATCAAACCTTTCTCAACTCCTCAGCCATAACCACCTCATTCACCTCCTGCCGTGTATAACTCCTTGAGTGATAAACTTTTCGCCCATTGGTCTTCACCTCCAATGAGGGTAGTTGGCTAAAGTAACAACTGAACTCCTGTATGTTGTTCAGACTCTGTAGCACCGCATTCATAAAACATGTGTTGCCTAAATTTTTTAAACCTACAATTTTCTTGTCTTTCTTTCCATTGCATGGTGACTTTTTCTCTTTTTTGCTTACTTGTTGAGTTGTACTGTTCTCTGTGGAATTGCTGTCTTCTGAATGAGATCTCTTTCGTGACCGTGGTCTTAAACTACGTGCTGGTTCTTCAGGATTCTACAAATATCAATAATAAAATTACCCAGTGTCATATTGAAGAAGTATTTATAGCATGCTCCATAGCGCATCTCTATCATGCTGCCACATTTACTAAATAGCCAATCCACTTAACCATAATCAATCATTACAATAATAAAGTAAATATAAAAAAATCATATCTCTACAACTTTCAAGACTGTAATAAAGATATACTTTTAATAAAAATTCAGGACACACAGCAAAGGGAAATAATAATTATTTATGAGAAAAGAAAAATTAACAACCATACCTTGGTAGTTTTAGTTGATTTAATATCACTAGTTTCTGAAGTACTACTAATAACATTAGGTATATCAGCACATGTGGCAATTAGCACATTGTCAGGCACTCTCGTGTATTCACTTTGCACTGGTGATGGAGACTGTGCATCTTGAGCTGAATTGCCAGAAATCTCACTACCATCTTTGCTACTCTCCTCGTGTTGTCCTATATTACTATCTGCATCTTCACTTTTGCTAATTTTCATAATACTTTGCCTTATCTTATCTATTGCTTCAGTTTCTGTGTCATTGGATACATAATCATCACATTTATAGCTGAAAATTTTGAAAATAGCATTATCTATTCAATACTGTACATAAAAATTATTTTTGCGTTTTCAGTTTAGGCAGTTTATCAACAATCTCTTTAATAATTATTACATCACATAGGTAACTAAGTGTAAAAAAAAAACCACCTGGCTAACAGAACATAATAAGTTTACTAATGACACATCGTGCTTATGAAAAAAGAATGTAATTCAAAAGCCAATAGAGCTTGAATACCAGTGAAGGAGTCAGGGAATGAATGTGTCACTTAGGATAGTTAATCACATTAGTCCTACCAGTATACAGAGTAGACATCACAGCTCATACAAAGCTGGTGTAGGGCCTCCTCAGCATGCTGCTTGGCATGACCATTAACATAGCGGCCACAGTTCACAGCTCCGCATTGCAAACATAACCAATTCTGTTCCTTTGTGCCACATCCTGCAAGTTCAATAATTAAGGTTGTCCTCACCATACATAATGTCTTACACATATACTTACAAAGTCTATTTACACACATAAATACACAAAAAAACATAAGACTTTGATCTCCCCTAAGAAGAGACAGTTAAATACTTGATTATGGACTTACATTAAATAAACGATCAATGGAATGTGTACTTCTTTACTTACATAGCATTAAAACATGTTTTGAATGATTTTTTATTTGTAATAAATGAAATGAAAAAATGAATGACCATAATTTTATGTTTAGCCTATTGTTTCTAGTGTTCCTTAAAATGCAAATTATTTTTTTATTTCTATGAAGTATTTCCAAATAATTGTAACCTACCTAATATTGGTAATAACAATTCTATTATACAATGTTAGCAAGATTTTCAAATTATGACTAAATTCATCTCGACCATGGCCTGTTTACAAGGTCTATTGTAAGTTTTACCACATTTTAGTCATGCAAAAGTTTCTTTATGTAAATAACAGCTGAATACTTAATTGGTTGATGCTGAAGGTTATCCACTTCTCCTATTTTTGTTAGACAATTTTGATATGAAAGCTACATAGTACTAAAATAATAATTTGACAGTATGCCCACTACATTAGAAATATGCTTTATTCTAGTTAAATTGAAAGATATAGTGTGACGTACATAAATGAATAACTCGTTTGGTTGTGATATTTGGCTGGCTCTTCTATGATAGAGTTTATTACGCTGCGTATGTGAATGGCGTGATTTCTTTGGTGAGTCATTTTGTTAGGAGTGTTCGCGAGTGGCGAGCGGCGCAATAACTCGGCGGCAGGGGCGACCCATAACATTTACATTTACCACGCCATGGCTTCGAAGACGCGCAGTTCAAAATAGCCCACCATAATGATGTGATAGCATTAATTATAACGCAACGCGTCAGAACGCGACACCGAGTCACGGTCACCCATGCCGCGCCCCTCCCTCCCCCTTGAACAGCTGATTATTAAAGTTCGCTGTATTGATTTTCTAAAACTAACCTCCCGTTACGTGATTCGATGCGATGTAGCGTCTATTTACAGCCACGCGTCATATGAAACTCACTAGGTGTTATTTCATAAAACAAAGCAATTAATTACCTGAACAACTGAAGTTCTTTGTGATCGAGATGTCTACCGCAACGAGAACGCTATCCACTTTGACGTTATCTAACAAATGTGAACATTCCATCCTTCATGCTACAAATGATGTTTTTAAGAGTCAAATGTCCGCTAGCTCGTAAAATTATAATGGTTATCTAGCACAGCTACCTCCAACCCAGAAAACGAACATGAGCGACAGACATAACTTTTTTCGATTTTGCTCGACTCAACTCGATTGGAGAATGAATTTTCTAGTTCAACGAGAGCGAGGGAGACAGCAAATGAAAACAATTGCGGCGCGTTCGGATACATGATATTATTATTGTTTCCTAGGCGGCTACTACCTTGGCTTGGCACTACGGCTTGGGCCAAACAGTACGGTTATTATAAAAATTATGGCAATCATCACACATTAGAAAGATATTGTATGATCACACACATAATAAGGATGCTAAAGCAAGTATGAACAAAAAATCGACACATGACATACTATGCGATGTTCTCTCTTTCTAGGGTTCCACGCTTAATCGAAAAATGTGGAAGCTAAAATGTATGACTAATTCTGGTTACTATCACTACCATAGATTTTAGATTTAGTATGATCACTACCTATTTAGTTTCATACTCAAGGTGTGAGGAGGTGTCATATCACATTATGGGCCATCTTTAAACACCTATTCCAAAATTATTTTACACGTATTAATTTCACTTAGACAAATGTATGTATGACAAAACTAGACACACATTTTCCTTGCCATTTCTAATAATTTACGAGAAATTTACAATAATTCCTCAAATATCATACAAGAGAAAAATTGAAACCTAATTGACATACATTTTGTAACTATTGAGAGTAAAAAACCTGTGTAATCTTTTATTTACTGTATTTGATTATATGGACTAGTCCGTAAAAAATGTTTTATTTGTGCAGTAATTTTAATTTTAAAGTAAACAAAATTAATGTCATTTTAAAGTTTATTAGCCTTAATTACGTCTGCCACCATAGCCACCCTGCGTAGCTGGCTGTGTGAGCTGGAGACCATTGATGTTGTTGAAATCAAGCATTTTCAACATGTCCTTAGTGTCAGGGTCGACTTCAATGATGTCATGCTCCAATGCAGAAACCTCAGGCACGTAGTTGTCACGTCTCTCACGCTCTTCTTCCTGCAGTTTAATGGAGATTCCACGCACCTGGGAGTGCCTAAGACGTCTCATTAAGTGGGTGGCAAACCTAAAAACAAATGCTAGATCATACTATTGTGATATGAATTATTGAGGGTGGACAAGGACTTGTTCTATATTAAATAAAATCAATATTCACTTAATTGTAATTGACTTTGAATACCATCCGAGGATATTTTTAAAGCATTAGTACACATGTACAATTTTAAGTAATTTGTATTGTGTAGATGCAGGTCGCATTATGACAAACCTTAGTGGTTTAAAATGCGATTAGAAACATATTTGTGTATTTTGTCCTTTATACAATAAATAAAAATTAAAAAAAAAAGTCTGACAGAAATGAAAGTACAAGTAAATTAAGCAATATAATCGTATCACCTTAAAAATACACGAACAAGTAAGTAATCCTGTTTCCCACAAGTATTTAGGAAGATGCCTTCATGGAAAAACTAACCTCCGTTTGAGTGGACCAAATAAAAACATCATTAATTACTTACCCAGCGATTTTATTGCGCAGGGGCTTAGTGGGAATAATTGCGATTTCCTCGCATATCCTCTTGTTTGTGTCGAAATCAAGTGTTAACCTTGTGTAATACTTCTCAATGATAATTTTCGCCGCTTTCTTGACGGTCTTAGTCCTGACACGACCCTGGAGGAAGATGGAGATTTATTACAAATAAGACCATTTTGTGGCACTAACACATGTGCCATCTGTAAGAATAGCTTAAATTTCGAGAATTTTGGAAAGATTCGCAAGATTCACAAGGATTATTTACAAAAATCAAAATTACCATGATTGAAACACTGTATTCGCCTTTTGACAAATGACAGAAAAGAATTTACTTAGCTATGGTTTCTTGTCAAAATAAATTTAATGACGCCAATTATATTCTCCTTCTTCTTCGTTTCGACAAATCAAAATTCTGAAAACAAGAAATCATTTTTAAGAATATATTATTTAAATAATTGCGATAAAAGGAAGAGAGAGCCATACAAAAACGTTCCAGGACGACAAAAGTTACATAAAAAAATATATAAATTAATTTTCACACAGTTTTGGCAATTGGCAACGTCAAATAATAAATGTCAAGAACTTGCTCTGTAATCTATGAAATTTCCTTCACTTTCTTTCCCCATTTTGGATTTTTGTGGAGGTTGAGTTTTGCCGCGCGGTTCTGTCTTCCACGTTGATAAATGAATATCTGGCTGCTTAGCAACTGTAATTGTGATATAGATATTTAAACTGTAGTTTTAGTGATTTCTGTTTGTATCTATTCGTTGCGTCACATAACACATTCAAAATGTTTTGGGGTGAGTAATGTTCTTTACCGGCTAACCGTCACCACGTGTTACCCACTTTTCATGAACATATTTTTCATGTCTTGTCCCGAGTATGATTTTAATAACCGTTCAAGGTGCCTAATTGTACTCAGTAGCTATCATTTAAGGGATTTGCATCACCGTGAACATCGCACTTTAGATGCTTGTAGCTAAATTGTCAAGGTTGCTAGAGAGACCTTTGCTCATAATGCTGGTCACTGAACACCCGAAAACCAAATTTAACAGTTTGAACGAAAACAGCACTATACTATAAAGAAAGACATGTGCCACTTATATAGTTATCTTATCCTGTTAAATATAATTTTAATTTACTGAACATATTTTATGAACAAGTATGAGCTAATTCATTATTTCTTTTAAAAAAGCTATTTCGAATCACACTAATATTTAAATGACAATCTTTATGTGTACTGCCCCCTTATACCATGCACTCAAATATTGCATGGTACAATTAACTGTTCAAGATATTTTCCACTGATGGGTTCAAATGACTTCTTTTTATATTTAATACTGCAAGGCCCTGACTTGTTGGAAAATCTATACTCAAATGAATAAATATAAATTATTACAGGACTAATAATGGAACCTAACAAAAGGTACACTCAAGTAGTGGAGAAGCCATTCCACATATCACAGGCAGCTATGGACATATCCACAGGGGATAATGACCCATGCCAGGTGATGATTGTAGTGGATGGCAAGAATTTCCTTGTATGCACACTGCAGAAGAACAAGTGCATTCAAGTGCCTTTGGACTTGTACTTCAAAGCTGGAGACTCTGTTGCATTCTTGACTAATGGTAATTGTAAGGATTTTTTATACTGTTGTTGTTTTTTTTTTTTCATAAAGCCTTAATTTAATTCCTTTAGAAAGTATTTTGAGAGGCAAAGGTGCTGAATTAAACTATTAAAGAAGAGTAAGTGGGTTGAAAAGAATTAATGTAGGTTATAAAAGAGCTGTTTATTAGGTTTCATGCACTTACATAACAACTCAGCACAGAGTGCACAATGCGTATCAAGCCATGGGAGTTATTAATGTACATATATGAAGGGCAGGATTTGCTTTAAGTAATAAAACTTGGTGTCAAACTTTCTTGAGTATTGTATACAATTTTATATCCAGTAGGTAGTAGTATCCAACTATGGTTGTAAATTATTATTTCTACAGGCAAATGCAATGTACACTTAACTGGTTATTTGGACCCTGAATTTGAAGAGGAGCCCTCTGATGATGAGGAAGAGGAGGAGGAAGATGAGGAGGAAGCTCCGACACTAGTTCCCGCCAAGGGCAAAAGGAAACTTGAGAATAGTAATGATGCTTCTTCCAGCAAGAAAAAGGTAAATTTTACTAATGGACAGTCAGCATGCAAATGATCTGGAAGGCAAACTGCTAAATATCTGCATATTTCATAAACATCATCCTTATTGTAATAAACTAGGTGATTTTTTATAGTTGTAACTCTGTATTTTGTTTACTCAGTGGAACCATGACACTTTTAAGAGTAATAAATAAGTTGAAAATAATTAACAGATAATTATAGTCTGTTCCAATCCATTTTGGACAAAAAGTAAACAAACCTGTTTGGTTAAAATTCTAAAGCAATCACTCAATAAATTGAATAAGTAACACTTTCACGAATATTTTGGCTTGATATATCATCACTTTTTCCCACAATATTAATTTGAATAGCATTGTAAAATCGTATTTGAAAAAGGTAGTCCAAAAGTGAGGTTATTATTCATCTATACTTCTATGACTTGCCTATAGTTGCATAGTGCTGTTCAAAAAAACATTCGGTTCAATCAATTAAAGTTTAGTAATTGATTAATACATTGAACATTTCAATCGCAATTGAACAAGTATCTGAATGTAAGGATTTGAATTGAAATTTTAAATATGCTTATATAGGTTATGTAAGGAAAACCGCTAGTATGACTCAATTGAACAAATCAATTCATTCAATTATTTAATTGATATGTAGTTGGTGCTACAATTGACCATCACTAAACGGTCTATGGTCGGGTCAGTGACTCGTTTGCTTTTTATTGTTCAAAATGGATTGAAACGAAGCGTAGTAAGTCTTTTAACTCTTTTTTATATATCATAAACACTGAGAATTAAATAATATAATTTTACAAAGATGTAGCTTGAAACCTCAACAAATGTTACCTATATCATAGAAAACTGACAAGAAGGCTGTAGCAGCCGAAAACTCAGATTCTGATGATGACGCTGATGACGAAGACCAGCTCCGGAAGCTCTTGGATGGAGAGGATGTTGATACTGATGAGGATGATGAGACCTTCAAGGTTAACACGTCAGCTGAGGCAGATAGGTAGTAATAATACTTTAATTGTTTTATTTGACATTTTAAAATAAATGTTATAAATGTGAACAAATGTACTCATTCTTAGGAAATCTACTTTATAAGTTAATAGTAGAGAATAATCAATTCATTGATTTAAAATGAAATTTACTTACTTACAAAATATACATTATTTGAATTTAATAGAGCATCTGCAATCCCCTTAGGATTCCTTATCACCTCTGGTTGGTGGTGGAGGAGCAGATGGAATTATACCATAATAATATATTCTATTCACACTCCTAGGAAATGTATCATATTAAAAACTTGTTTGTAATGTAAAATCTTATGACTGACTGAAGGTTATTTCAGTTTTATTTATTTAAAAATGGGAAATTTTATTATTAATAAACATATTCTTTATTTTTAAATCAACAGTGATGATGAGGAAGACTCTGAGGAAGAAGCTGAAGAGGAAGAAGAAGATAGTGACAATGAAGAAAAAGACTCGTCAAAGGCAGATTCTACACTAGATTCTAGCAAGGGAGATGTAGACATGTCTAAGCTCAGCAAATCTGCTAGACGCCGCCTTAAGAAAAAATTAGCGCAACAGAACAAGCAACCCCAAGTTAATGGAGTTGATCGGTCGAAGGTAAAGCTTTTATAGTGATATTGATAAGTGTTGTAATGAACATCTAATGATGTGCACATTATTGTAGTAAAGATCTTGAACACGGATTCACTCGAATGCTGAAATCAATGACTTAGAAAGCATTGCCATTTTCAAAACAAGTGACATATTATTGTTACTATTCCATAAAGCTACATATGGACTGTTTGTAATTTGTTTGTTATTGCTTTAGAAAGAGAAAGGTGATGCACCACAGCAGAAAGGTGAGAAAAAGAAGCAAGATAGCAAGAAGGAAATAGACACAAAAGAAAAGAGTGGCGATAAGAAGGAAAAGAAGGCACTCAGTGGAGGTGTGTTCATCGAGGACATGAAGGTGGGAGAAGGACCTGCGGCTAAGCCTGGCAAGACTATCATGGTTAGTCAAGAATTGCCTAATTGATTATTTAAGCCAATGTCAGGAAATGTTTAATAATGTAATGTAAAAAATCACCATAATTATCTTTTAGTTTATTCATTTTCAGGTGCAAAGTTTATTAAAATTAGTTAACATTACCCTATAATTTGTAATATATAATAACCTTTCTTTCAGGTATATTACGAAGGTAGATTGAAGCAAAACAACAAGATGTTCGACAACTGCAAGAAAGGCGCCGGTTTCAAGTTTAGGTTGGGCGCCAAGGAGGTAATCTCGGGGTGGGATATCGGCATCGCCGGCATGAAGGTCGGCGGCAAGAGGAAGATCATCTGCCCTCCTGGCATGGCGTGAGTAATGTACATTTTCTAAAGAGTCATTTATGTTGTTGTCATTTGTGTCATTGAAACAAAAGTACTGAAGCTAGGAAAAGAAACAGTTTCTTTGTTAGTCATCATTATCATCTTACATCATTTTATAATTGCACTTGTGAAGGATTTGTTTACAGTTATGCTTTTTGCCTCAGATATGGAGCTAAAGGATCACCACCAGTCATCCCACCAAACTCTACCTTAGTGTTTGATGTGGAACTAAAGGAAGTGAAGTGAGATTTTGACCAGTGAGGCATTGCACCAGCAAGAGGACATTTGTTGTGTTTGAAAGTTGTTGGAAAGTTGCCATGAAGGGATGCAGTTGACATGTCTTGTTCTAGTTATAATATGATGTATCTCCAATTGTTGATTTTTTATAACAAAAATTATCTTTATGAGACTATTTTAGTTACACTGCTCTTTATATACAGTAATGGACACAAAATAAACATGTCATTGACAACTTGTCTGTACTGTTTCATATGGGCATTAAGTTTTTACATTATGGGAAAACTTCTCAAAGAAACTTTATTTTTTACATGAAACACGAATTTTATAGCAGTTAATAAAAATATTGCTGGTGCATCATATTCCATATAATAGTAAGTTAGCTTATAAGAACCCAACAGGACATCAGTTTGTTTTATTTTTTATTTGGTTTTTATTAAATTAATGAACATTTTTGTCAATAGTGTTGTAAGAGCTGAATTTCAGTAAGAATTTTAGATAGAGTTATGAATATGAACTGTATTCGAGTCCATGATAGAATTTGTAACTGACATAAGATTGCTAGGCAACAGAATTTTAGATTATGAGTTCTATCATAAGACCAGATTCCGACTATTATTTTAAGAATATCAATAAGTTACTATACACTGTAAACAGCTACAAAAGTAATAGGTAAACACAACTTGTGTGAATGAATGACCTCTTGAATGTTGATTGGTTGTATTGTATCTGCATGTCATTGTATGGGTTATTTCAGATGCAATAATATATAACATACATTAATCAACAGGTTAGAGAGAACATTACAAATTTAAAAATAATTTCTTGGTACAACTTAGGCAAGTTTTATTAAATTCAAATTAAATCCCAGACTTCAGTCAACCAAGCCTTTTATTTCTCCTTAATTTTTTTTACACATTAAATTCCATTCCTATAACAAAACTAAATCTCACCATCTCGTATTGTTCTTAATAGAACTATTGCATAGGGAAACACTTATATACAGCGAATCATAATAATTTAAATAGCATAAAATAAATGTAAGATTCATCAACAGATAATTAAATTTCAATGGAAATATGCAATCTCACAAGTAATGTGATTACTCTTTACAGTTAGATAACATTATTCTGATTTTAGGCGACAGTCACTGGCCTTAATATAGCTAGGGCTTTGCTTTGCGTCATTGTCTTTTTCTTCAACTGCTTTTTTCGCGAAAACGCACTTCCCTCCTTCGCAGTTGAGCGGGAATTCTGTCTTCACCACATTTCCGTCGGCGTCCTTGACGGCCCATGGGTTCCAGAAGCGTAGTACGTACGGCTGAATGAACTTGTGCCACAGAAACAAGAGTACTGGAACGATGAAGCAAGGAACGCAAACCATTTTGTTTCACAATTTCAAATCTGCCACGAATTCTTAGGTACAATATATGTGGCTTGATGAAGTCAGTTATTGGGTTATTCAAGTACCAAATTATTACCTCGATATTATGCGTTTCAAATTGTCGATTTATTATGGAATGGAAAACAATGGAATATTTTAGAATTTATCACCAGCCAACATCAGTCATCAGAAAGAACAAAAGCAAGACAGATAAACTAAATCGTAAAAAAGCAATGTGATGTCACTCTGACTGTCAACTGTCACTGTCACTGACACTTTTTTTGGCTAAGGAACTTCACTGGTATGGTGAAAAATTACCATTTTGAAAATAATAATATTTTTACAATATTTTTCTTTTCATTTTCCACATTTGAAGTTGTCAAAAGTTGAAGTTACTGAACGAAAACGATGAAGCCACTCTAATGAGATGAATGATGAGAATCGATTCTACAAACTCAACTATAATGTCCTCTGCTTTCCTGTCCGCCTGTTTGCGTTGGCCCTAACATTTTCCACTAAACGGCTATCGTGGGTTGACTGGTCGCGCGCGACTCTGTTTTACTCCAGAGTTGCGGCCGCGTCAATGGGTATGGTATACCGATTGACGCGGTATAATGACATTTGCATAAATAGGAGTCGCGCGCGACTAGCTGCTTAGTGGAGAATGCCTGTAATGTGTTATCTATTAATATCTTAGATGATGGAAAAAAATTAGTTTCCAAAAAAACCACAATAGTGTTTTTGTGATGGCTATAGCGACGGGATAGAGCGGGCTAGGGCCGATACTCCGGTTGGGTTTTACCTGTCTGATGCAAGCGAGTTAATTAACAGGCATTACCTCACCTAAACTTTTCAACCTGTATGTGAACGACCGAGCTCAGCAGCAGTCGGATAGGGTGTCGCGTTGATGATGTTAGCAACAACATGTGTCACCCGAGAAAAGTACATACTTCCTCGCAAACGCAAGTCGGGCCTGTCTATGTCGTGGTGTCAACATGGGCACCTTCCTTGTTACTCTCCCAAATAAGTGTGCCTCCATCAAGCATCTTCGAACGGTGCGTGCAGATACTGCGCGAGGATGGTTCTCACCAAAAACTTCGTTTTTTATTTGATGAGCCTATGAATAGCTTCTGCTTAGCGAGATTACTATTCTTGAATCTTATCGTGGAGACGTTTTTCTTTCTTTAAGTTTACGGGAAATATTCATAGTTGTCTTGTGTGTGTTAAAATGTTTCACGGCCTGATACACCTTCGTTTTTGAGCAATGCAAATGCAATTTTACCGATATGACCACTTACGACCACGCAGCTTTATTATAACTTCTTGTGGGGAAATCCAGAGTTTATGGATACCTCACAGAGATCTCGGATATTCGAATTAGAAACAATAAAATACACAAATCAGGGCCGTGCCCGGGACGTGGACGGGGTGTGCTAGTTTGTATGAACTGCGGGCCCGTCCCGGCGCCGGCCCGGACACGGACATGTGTGAACGAGTTATCATCATATTATATATATATATATATATATAGATATTTATATGAGCCCCTGACGGAGCACGGCCCGTCCACTTCCCGGGCACGGCCCGGATATGTGTGGATAGACCATAAGTAAATTATTTAAAAACACATTTATTTAGGACTGCGGTCAAAATTTTTTTTTTTTTCATCCTCTAAGGGTCAAAAGTATATAATGTCATGAAAAAACAATGACATAGAAACATGAAAATATATTTAAATTTGAATTACAAAGGAACGCACATACTAAAAAGGTTTGCTCTATTAAAAATACTTAACCTCCTTCAACACTCCTTCTTAAATGAGCTAGTAGAGCCAGTCCCAACTTCTCCTTAAATCTGCATTCTTTTCGAAAAATTCGCACCATTTCCCGAATGTAAACTTCGGGAAATAACATAACTAAACGGTAGTTCTCCAATGAGAACTACCGTTTAGTTATGTATGCATCATTGGATGCATGGGATTTCCAGCAATTTGAATCGCAGACTGACTATCATTGAGTAGTTCCACAATTTCATTAATCCCAGTCAGCTCGGCTAGAAGTGCAGTCAAAAATACTGCCTCCCTGCACCCTTCCGAAATGCTATAGGACATCCTACAAATAGGAATACAAAACCAGTGTAAGATTTACCCTGTAAGACTTCGCCTGCATGATCTGCATCCACGTAGCCAACAAGTTTTCTTTCCGTTTTCTTAAATACTAGTCCGATTTCTTTGGTTCCGTTTAAGTACCGAAGCGCACGCTTTGCAGCTGTCCAAAGTGTTTGAACGTAATAACTATTAAACTGGCTTAAATAGCTGACTCCATACGTAATGTCCGGCCTCGAGCAGACAGCTAGGTAATTCAGTGAACCAATCAACTCTCTGTATGGCAGTTCACTTGGCAAAACGTAATTCTCATCGTCTGGTTTCACGAGCTTCAACCCAGTTTCAACAGGAGTCTTTACACCCTTGCAGTCACTCATCCCAAATTTCTTAAGTATTTTCTCAAGATACTCTAATTGGTTGAGTTGTATTGAGTTCCTCTGCTGTTTGATCTTCATTCACCTAAGTCTCTCATCTCCAATTTAGCTTGAAGCTCCTTCATTACTGATATCCTTTCTTTTTGGTCATTCCAGAAAATTAATGTATCATCCACATAAACCGCAATAAACGTCATACTGTTTTGTTTCTTCCTCATATAGACACAAGGTTCACCTTCGGATCTCTTGAAACCCATATCTAACAAAACTTTGTGTAATTTCTCATACCATTCTCTGGGAGCCTTCTTTAATCCGTAAAGAGCCTTTTTCAATAGGCAGACGTGTCCTTCTTTACCAATTTCTTCGAAACCTTTACGCTGTTTCATATACACCTTCTCTTTTAAATCTCCATTCAGGAACGCAGTAACTCCACTGATCCACTTTCAAGTCATTCTCCACAGCTAAGGCTAATAGTTATCTCAGAGTACTGTGACGTACAACAGTACAACAGGCGCAAAAGTTTCATTGTATTAGTTATTAGTTTAATCCCTTTATTTGGGTAAAACCTCTGGCAACAAGTCTATCTTTATACCATATCTTCCCCGGCTCCTTTTTTGTTCTAAAAATCCATTTAGAATCCACGTAGTAGCCATTGGCCTTTTCTACTAACTCCTAGGTCTGGTTTTCTTAATTGCATCAAGTTCTTCTAAATTGCTTTAAGCCATTTATCTCCATCTGATCTGGACAAAGCTTCGTCAACTGTTAAAGGATCTTCCCTCATATCCTCTTCTCCATAATAAAGAACATAATCATTATATTTTTTCGGTTTCCTTTCTCTAAGAGGATATCTTCTTTCAGGAACATCATAAGTGGTTTCCAATCTTAGTTCAGAAACTTCTTCATCTTGAACTTCAGATTCAGAAACTTCCACTCCTTCATTGGGGTTACCGGTTGCAATTTCATTTCTAATTTCACCTGATTGTAACTCTTTTCCAACAATGTTTTCCATACACTGCTGTTCAACATCTTTCAGTAAAAAAATCTTCATGCTGTTCTACTCGTTAAGTTTCAGGAGCATTAACGACTTGAGTCATTATAGGTTTCTCGCAGCTGTCATCTAATGTCACCACTTCCTTCGATTTCATCACAGTCGTTTGCATGAACTCTTATTTGATTCTCAAACAAGACAACGTCTCTCGCTTTGTGTAAGCTATGCGTTACAGGATCTATAAGACGTTCGCCTTTTGTTGTTTCACAGTAGCCAGTACGCTTCTGTTTTGAAACATGCATAAACGCCCGGCAGCCGAAAAATTTCAAATGACACAGGTCAACCTTTCTGTTAGACCATGCTTCTTCAGGCGTCTTCACTTTTACAGCACGTGTAGGACAACTGTTCTTCAGATACACTGAGGTATTGACCGCTTCCGCCCAATATTTCCTGCTAAGTTTCGCTTCTTCAAACATGCTTCTAGCTCGGGCCATAATTGAACGATTAGCTCGTTCACTCACTCCATTTTGTTGCGGTGTATACTCTATTGTCAACTGATGGACAATACTATTCCGCAAACAAGTATTTACGCGTTCATTGCCATATGCTTTCCCGTTGTCTCTCCTAATTGCCTTTAGCTTTTTACCCGTCGGATTTTCAATAAGCGTTTTAAACTCTATCAGCTTAGAATAGATCTCACTTTTGTTCCGCAAAAAATAAAGAAAAGTTTTGCTTGAATTATCGTCATTAAATGTCTGGAAATACCTATAGCCTACAAATGAAGCAGTCTCCATAGGGCCACAAATGTCGCTATGGACCAATTCAAGAATTTTAGTAGTACGTGTACTCTTTTGCTTCGGTAAAGGTAATGTATTTTGCTTACATTTCAAGCATTTGTACTGAATGAACACATTGTACTGAATTTGAATCCTTGAAACATATACCTCTCGCCAGTTTGTCACGTAGTAATTTCATATTGCTAAGTTCTAAATGTCCAAGTCTGCGGTGCCATAGTTTAACTTCATCATCAGTAGTTGCTTTTAAAGCTGAAAAGACGTCAGGATTAGAATTAAGTTTCACTACATAGATCCCTTTCTCTTCCTTACATACCAACTCAACCTTATCGCTCACTTGACATTCACTAGCTTTATATAATTCACAGCCTCTCTTCGAAAATACTACCACAAAGTTACGACTCACTAACGTACTTATATTCAACAGATTCGCAGCTAGCTTCGGCGCATAGACAGCTCTCTTCACAGTCACGTTCAACCCATCCCAACAAATATCACCTCGGCCTTCGCCATCCACTCTGCTCCCATTCGCGCAAGATATTTGAACTGGCTCCTCCAACTTCAAAAGCTCTGTATATTTTTTTTAATAGTTTGAGAGTAATCTATTACCATTCTCTTCTTATGTAGACCTCCACCTGCGATTATGGCTTGTGCTCGCCAGGGTGAGACACTGGGTTCGATGATACCGTCTTTAAGTAGTATTGAAACTTCTGTGTTTATAAAAATTTCGTCCTCTTTGTTATGGAGTCTCGATCGAAACGCTATTGATTTTATATGCGGTGATAAGTTAGTAAACAAGGATGCAGGCGGTACTGAAGCTTTTATAACATTACAAATGCGTAATGGTTCTTGAGTGCCTCCAAATTTCAGTACCAATGAGGAATGGTTTTTGAGAATGTCACCAATGATGACATCAGCACAGAGATTGTCGACAATTAGTAGAGATTGCAGTTTATATTGGTACTTTTGAAGTTGAATATTAGCATGGCAAGGTACCTTGGACGAAGGACTGAATACGTGATTTAATGAAGCCGATGTGATAGACTGGCGGCAAGGTTTTATTTTTAATTTCAATATTTCGGCTAGCTTTCTGTCTATAAAGCTTATAGAGCTTCCTGTGTGTATCAAAGCCTCAGCTTTATATCCGTCTAGTGTCAAAGGTACAGTTGATTTTCTTAGACTGCTGAGATAGTAGAAAGTGCGTCATCACGCTGAGTGTCGTGTTCAGTTACTCTTTGTGGCTGTCCGGATCTGCACACATTAGCAAAGTGGCCCTTTTTCACTATGCACGGCCAATGAACGCTTTCCAGTTACAAAAAAAATCTCAATATAATTGAATAATCGGGTACCACAGACTGATTACACTGATCTGAAATTGATATTTTATTTATACAAATTATTAGAGAAATTAATAATCTCAGTACAGTGTACTAAAAAAACCGACCTCGAAAGTTCGTGGATTTACATCTAAGTGCCTATTCGCCAAATTTTATTAAAATCGCTTACTGGAAAGTGCGCGAAACCGGATTCATCCCCTAGTTTGCCATTCTTAGAGGTAGAATATTTTCTTCAAATTTAAATGGGATCAATACTGTTGGAAAGAGGGTACCCTCTTTCCAACAAAAAAAGAAGCATCAAAATCGGTTCACAAATGCCGTTATCGCGTAATATACATTAAAAAGAAAAACAGTCGAATTGAGAACCTCCTTTTTTTTTGAAGACAAGTTGATGATGAATAGGAAAATAATATTTCGGTAATGGCTTCACTTTTTATCTGTCATTGGTAAACATTTATCAAATTTGTTTTCATTATGAATTTATTGAATTTTTAATCAATTAATAATAATAAAAACAAATTTGTGTGTGTAAAAGTGCTATTTTTCAAACGTCGCCCTGTAATTAAGGATACCGAACTTTATTTAATTCAAGATACAAATTGACGACAACCGTAGAGTTTCTGTTATATCTGTCAATTTTTAGGAGCGACTTTTTTGCTACTAGAACCAAATAAAATGACGTCGATTTACCACTAATCAAATTCAAAAAATTCTACCATGGCCACGCTGGAACATCGAGTATATGCGCTGGAATAAGACACACACAATGTCTTTATATACGTAGGATAAATAATAGCCGCAGGTAAAAAGAAAAACAATTGTATTTTATTTATTAACGACAAGCGACCATTGTATTACACGAATGATCACCGTAAACAAACAATAGACTATCGTTGACTGTATAAACGACATTTTCATGTACTCGTTTTTTTAAACAGTCCATAATATTAATTTTTAAACTTTTATGTTTCTAATACCCTGTTTGGTTATATAACTCGCATAAATTAGAAAGAGAAAACCAGACTTAAATATCTGTAATTACATCGCCCGGCCCTAGCCCGCTCTGTGCCGTCGTCATAGCCATCACAAAAACTAAAACACTGTTGGAGTTTTTTAATTTCACCGAAATTACTAGATAAAAATATTCTCCGTTCACGCGTTCTTTCTAAGCAGCTAGTCGCGAGCGACTCCTATTTATACAAATGTCATTATAGCGTGTCAATCGGTATACCATACCCATTGACGCGGCCGCGACTCTGAAGTAAAACAGAGTCGAGCGGACTCGCCGTTTATTGGAAAATGTTAGGCCCAACGAAAACAGACGGACAGGAAGGCAAAGGACATCATGGTTGACTTTGTCGAATCGATTCTTATCAAATTACTAATGTACTGCGCTGACAGACATTTGAGATTTTTCTGTTACGGGAAAAAATATCAGCGTTGGTACAAATATATTATATATAAATACAAATAGGTACCATATTTGGAATAACAACATGCCTATGACTAGGTAACAAGTCCTCAAAGCTATTTCGTGTTCTACACCAAGGCAAATACACTTTTTAACATTAGTTTAATAACATCAATAACCTCTCAGCACTATTAAATATGAATCAAAAATATTTTTCTCTGCTTAGCTATCTACTTAATTTAAAATTCAACTATGCATTATGTCTCAACGAGAATCAGTAACATTCGTTATCACAACCTCATAAAAACAATTTAAACATGTAAGTATACTTTGGACAGAAAAATAAACGTTGTATAAGTATGTACTTCCTTTGGGTAACTAAGGTATTATGAGCAAATATGATTTTGAAGTACTACTTTTACTAATGTAAATTACCTATGAGATCTCACTCACAGCACGTGTACTTAAAAACAACACAATGACTACAAACATCTTACAGATATTGATAGCATAAACGTAAAAAGAATAAATTACAAACAACCTTAAGAATATCTAGCTCTCGATTCTCCGTGAAGTAAAAAATCTAGGTAATAAAATATGCTGTGTACGCGATTGCATTAAATGCAATAAGTCTCGCATGGCACCATGAAATCACTAGCACTGATAACGTAGATGTACACCCCAGGAACGGTGCACCCGAAGAGCGCCCACATCACAGAAAAACAGAAGTCACTGCATGGCGTAGTCAGCTTCGACGCTGGAGAGAGCTGCCTTCAGCGAAAGTGGCAGCTCCGGCACTCGGTAGATAGGATCGGCAAGCGGCGGCAGCACCAATGCTTCCGGTGATTTTTCGTAACTACTAAGCGATAGGTACAGATGGGATACACGCCCGATCTCGTCCTCAGTCATCTTTACAGCTCGTAGGTGCTTCCTGAAGTCAACGTGTGTTGACTCCCCGCATTTGGCGCACGTGTCCTCAACGGCTGCAGGTTTGCTGCTCTTTTTAGAGGATGGTTTGCGAGCCGACTCGATCGGCTGGACAAACCTGTATTTTGGAGGCTTCATGGTATCGCAGTGCTTCTCTTCGGCGTCAGAGAGCAGCACGACCAGTTTCTCTTGTGGAGCGGCGACACCGGTCCGCGCGATGACTTCGCCGCCGCCCTGCATCAGTGCTGCCCACAACGCCTCCGAGGGGTTCTCGACGTCATAGTATACAAAGCGCGACTCAGAGCTGCTTTTAGCGCTGTTTTCGACTTGCAGGCTGTACCGCAGCCGGATCCTTTTCGGCTTGGAACTGTGTTTAAGGTACACGTGTATCGGTATCTCGATCGACGCGCACCCGGACTCTTGAATTTCATACGGTGGTTCTTGAATTACTGTAAAAAATAATGCGGTAAGTGAGATGTGGCAATCGTCGCGCCACCTACGTTTCAATCGTACGTAAAGGAGTAACAAAAGTCTTGGTAGACGAAAATTACTGCGATCGACACAACAAGGCTATCTGTCATGTACAGATAACGATAATGAGCGTATTTATGATGGAGTCATAAAGCTAAGACTTGCTCACCACGTAGTCGGCGATGGAATAAGAATAAATCGAAAATAGTCTTGGAATAAATTAAGCATCTACACGATAAAACGAAGATCAAATAACTAAAAGAGCAAAAAGTAGTTCCACTGGATTTAATTTTTAGCTCTAGAACTAAAAATTAAGTAATATGCTAATATGTGAAAACCGTGATAGTAGTTTCACTGGACTTTTACCGCACACACTCATAGCGCCGCACTAGGAAAACCCTGTGTCGCGGGTGGTAGACAACCACAAATTACACCCAAACTCACAAGAGAAATAAAGGTCATACAAATATTTCTCCTGCCTCGGGAATCGAACCCGGGACCTCTGCGTGGCAGATCAGTATGGTAACCGTTCGACACCGAGGCAGTTAAGTTACTTTCCACGATTGATTGATTACGTTGTAGCCTTTTTAATAGATGTAAGTATATAAAAAAATCATAGATATAGGAAAAAAAGGGTAGATATGTAAGATCGGGTACCGATGTCGCCATTTGTTAGCTTCAAACTTTCCGCTCTATTATCTACTACAATTACTTAAACATTTTGATTGGGTAGGGCCTAAAACGTGAAAACAACGTAACACAATTTTAAAATTTAACAAAACTAAACTTACAGTCACTTGAGTAAGAGTTATATTAAAATATTTCAGTATTTTTTTTCATCCTGGTTCCGCCATTCACCATCAGGTGGCGTTTTAGTAAAAATGCTACTAGTTGATAATAGTTAACTATTACACGTTAGATGTCGCTGAAACTCATTTTTCGTTACACTAAAAACTGGAGCGGTTTTCACCCGCGTCTGCCGCGGGACCGCGGCTTCTGTAGAATGTAATAGTTAAGTATGTAAAATTAGTAGCACATTTCACGGCGCGTTATACGTCTGTAGTAGTGACGGTTGCTCGCGGTTGCCGCGGTGGGATACTATAGTAAAACCGCGGAGCACGCGATCACCTGCGCGCTTGGCAGACGTCGTCGCCCGTGCACTTTGGTGGTCGGTTCAGGCGCAATGTGGTGCAGGCGCACGCGGGGTTACCACCTTGTGCTGGTGCTGACCGGGCACGGCTGCTTCGGTCACTACCTGCACAAGGTGGCGAGGAGGGAACCGTCCCCGTTGTGCCACGAGTGCGGCGCTGTGGATGACACCGCCGGTGGGATGGGCAGCACCGCACTCTGACGGGGACTGTAGGGCAGGACCTCTCGCTGCCGAGCGTGGTTGCCGCCATGCTCGATAGCGAGGCGTCCTGGGAGGCGGTGGCCTCCTTTTGCGCAGAGGTTATGTCGCAAAAGGAGGCCGCGGAGCGGGGGCGCGAGGATGCGGCGGACGCGCACCCGCTCCGGCGCAGACGTACAGGGAGAAGGCGAAGGCAATTCGCTGCTCGCTTGATCCCCTAGTGAGACCAGCGGGTCTGGACAGGGACTCCGGAGCCTGCATTGCACGGCCTCACTCGTCTGGGGGGCGGATCGGAGAACAACCGACTCGCCCCTCCGTTGGCGCGGGAGCCCTGGCGTAAACTAGGGCGGCCGGGCGGGTTCGTGGTGAATGTTCACTGATCCCACGGCGCCGACTCAACCGGCGAGAGGGAAACCCGGGGGGGTTTTAGTGGGGTAGGCCTTCCAGTCTGGAGGGAGAGTCCCCACATAATCCCTGAGTCTCCCTGGGCTCAGAGGTATCCATAAAGATTTCCCCCCGTCAAAAAAAAAGGCACGCGGGGTGTGTTCTCTATTAACCGCGTGACTTGCGATTAACTCCCGCTAACTTCGCGGTTCGTTCCGCAATGGCAACGGTTTCGTGCCCGCATAAACTTGCAGGGTCGTGAGTATTGATATAAAACCGCTGTCTAGCAGCACCGCATCATCAGCATTGTTAACCTTATTAACCTTAAACTGACGCTACTCAACGAGGGATGTGGTCCTACCTAATCGATAGTTAGAAACCATGTGGCTGTTTTTAATATTACAAAAATATTCAATTTTTCATACTATACCTACATTAGTACTGGTATATTATTGAATTAATATATTAATACAAGTTATTATTATTTTCTTAATGGCGGCCACTAGGCTTGGGCCAGTGTCGGTTTTATAAGAATAATATAAAAAATATGGCGATCGTCGCCAGTGTCAGTTTTCCATTATACGTTACCACGGGTTGGTGAAGCTGGAGTAAACTCGAACCGTCAAGTAATTTAATAAATTAAATTGTTATTTTTTTTTAGGATTTATGTAATTTTCTATAATTGTTTCTAATTTATTTTGCATGCACATGTAAAATAAAGCCGATTTTGTTTTATTTATTTTCTTAAATGCATTTGCTATGCAAATTTAAACACAGTCAGAAATAGTAATAAGAAAACCAATCTTTCGATTTTCCTGCGGCTTCAATCCTACCTTCTTTTATTTTGAAATTCATTGGTAAAACTTAAAAATTAAAAATACTCTACTTTTAATCTACGAGTATAATGGAATTTAAATATCTAGATTATCTAAAACAATAATACACATACATTTTTCTTCGCAACAGCAACATACAAATTGACATGAAATTGAAACGGTTGTCCGAAATATGAGTTGTGTTAAAGATACTCGAAATAAAATGGTTAGTGATAATAATAATAATAAAATAAAAGAAATCAATTTAACGTTAAAGTTTTTCGCTTCGATATTTTAGGGACTTTAATTACAAAAATCATAGTAAGAAATTCAAACATTTCAGTAAACATTTATTGTCGATAAACATCAGTCATCGTCAATGAACATCACTATATTTGAGTCTACAGTAGTCTTTCTATGGAGACAAAAAGAAAACATTAAATAATTATAGAAACAGTAAGTAAAAATGCAAATAGCCGGTGGAATGTTAAATCACTGGTTTTAAAATGTTTGTTTTCACTCCAATTCTTATACGGTGTATTGCTACAACTTGGCATTTTCACGTTTTACGAGAGATCTTATATGTACAACGATCGCCATGTCACTGTAGCGATGTTTGTAGGCGTGTCACCTCGATATGATCATTTTGATCATATCGAGGCGACACGAACCACGCCCCCATACAAAATCTACCCTTTATTCCTATATCTATGAAAAAAATAGACCGAGTCGTGAGTTTGGATTACAAAGAATAAGCATAAAATTTACGTTATCTTGTATCCTAACGTTTAGAACGGTAAAGACACGCATAAGATATTATATACCTCTTTTGGGGTAGACAAAAGCACTGGGCGGGTGCAGGTGGAAGACGACCTTGTGCACGAAGGGACTGATATCTTGTCCGCTGATGCCGCGTACCCATACGCGCCAATCAAGCGCGAGCGCACGTCCCAGCGCTGACCGACGCGGCTCGCACGCGTGGCCCACTTCCAGCCAGACGCGTACGCACATCTACAAAACAAAATTATTATACATGTTCATTTTATCAAAGAGAAAAGTCACATATACGCATTTTTCCTTTATTTATAAGAATCGTTGTCAAAATGTAATTAATTCAGTAGGTACAAGGATAAAAAGCACTTTGCCCCTTCAAAATCAAACAAATCAATAAGCACGAACCAATTTCCACATAGACATAATCAATTACGTTCCAATTAATGCCTTACGATTCTGGTCACAAAACTACTTAAAACAGCATAACGAAGATTAATATTGTACTACTCTACTCAATAGATGAATTGAAATTCGCAACATGGTTCAAAATATCATTATCAAAATAATAGAGGTGATGTAAAAGTTACGGTTGAAGGTCTAACTATTTTTACTCGGCTCATTTACTCTACGATTCAAATTTAAATATGAATATCATTAAATATTATAATAGACAAAGTGAAACGGATAACGGAAGCTATTACAACTAGTAAATGGAAGATATTATGTTGCTAACCATATTAAACAAATACCTAAATATGATACCTAGATATGATAAATTCAATACATTGTCACAGATAATAGCGTCAACTGCTGCAAGAGAGATTTAGTATATCAAAATTCGTTTCTAACTCAACTACACTACAATTTGAAGGTTGTAAAGTTAAACACGGTAGCATTGTTATACATAATAGCAAAGTTTTCAATCGAGCCGGTATCAGACAAGTCGAGTTGTGCCAAAACATAGTTAGTCATATTGGCGATTACGTCAAATAAGTCAACATTGGCAATGAATTGAGAGTTTGTTGCCGTGTACGTGATTTTCGCGCTACCGATTCACTTTGTTTCACATACACCGATGGGGACTAGGCTTAAGTTTAATTGAAATTCACTTAAAATGAAATGAAAAGGTTCAAAGTTATGCATTGCTGATGGCTATAGGTGGTTACGTAGAGAAATTGATTTTAACATTCTCGTTTCAAGAAAGTCATGAAGTTCTTAGAAGATCTTAGAATAGTTTACAAATATAGATAGTGCTACGGCTAAAAAGTAGTTAAAAACCAGATACAAAGATCCGACAACAAGCACATAGAAAAATTCGATGGTTTCGCTCCGTGGCTTAGTTGGCACGTCGAATCCGGCCAGATCGAGGGGATTTTTTCTAAGTTTTCGATCTTTGTATTAATAATTTAACAAACTAGTGGAGTAATTTCACATAAAAAGAAACACGCCGACATTCAATAAAAAACTTAGTTTACAAATTATTTGTAATTCTAACTAGTAGATTTGTACCGTAAAGAATTCAATTGCTAAATAAACACAAAGTACCTCATTAGCCGTTAACTGGTAACCCACAACTTCACTCTTGGTGGTTTATTGATTGAAAAAAAAAAAACAAAAAGAAACTACTGATATGCAAGTTTGGTAAATTTCAAAAAGTGCTCAATTCTTAGTTGAATTCAATAATATTATATACTTCTTTGTTTGAATTACTGCTCTTCGACTGAGAAAAAAGACACAGCAAAGTGAGAACAAACAATGAATAGCGAGAGTTGAGTGGTCGTATTATTGGTTAATAATATGGTGGGTGAGTGTGATGGCTGGTCAATGAATGTAGCGCGAGAGTGATTGAGGAAAACGAAATCTCCGAAACAAAAGTTAGTGTTTTTCCTTATCTCCATATTTACAGTTATACTTACAGCTTTTTTAAACTTTACGTTCTTGTGTATTGCTAATAAAAGTATTAAGTTACACGAATTAAGTAATATTCATTTTTACACTCAGATATGGAACAATATCAAGAATAACTTTGTGACAAGAATATGAAAAGAATAAATATGTATTAACTTATATATAATTAAAAATACAGATTTAAAATATTTTGCAAAATTTATTGTTCCGAACTTTTTTCCATCCTTCAACTTCAACTTCAACTTTTGTGTCTATGGCTCCGTCGTTTTGCGCGACGATTTTGCCAATGTCAGGGTTGAGAGACATGTGTAGCGGTAGTGAGACAGATTGCCGGTTATTAAAATACTTCGGCGGTTTTTATTCACAATGACGGTTATATATATATTTTAATGACATTACAAAAATATAATTTGAGAGCTCATGTTATTTTCTTTCTTTTAGAAACGTTGTAGGAAGTTTTATTTAGCGGGAAATAAAAAATAAAATCGTTTAGTAAAACAAAGTTAGGCGTCGTTTTCGTTCAATAACAAACTTTTGACCGGTGTCAGCGTGGAAAATTATCATGGAGGATGGAGAAAGAAATAAAATTATACGAAAGAAAATGGGAGAATACGGGACGAATAAAGAATATTCATTTTTCTTAAAAATTAAGACTGATCAGAAATGAGAATTTTTCTCCGACTCACATTGTTGGGGCAGAAAAGGCTTTAGGATTCCGAATTAACGAACTGTGTAAGTTGACATGTACAAAAGCAAAGACAGTAGTAATGAGAATGTAACCACGACGTTTACCAAAAAGAATTGAATAATAAAATAGTTTGTATTATCTATCGGATTATATTTCTCAAGACGAAGCGAAAATAACGAATTTTATTTTTTCTTACTCAAAAAAGAGCCTACTTGGCGCTTTATGAACGTACAATCGTTATTCATATTATTCATAATTATTAACCGACTTAAAAAAGGAGGAGGTTCTCAATTCGACTGTTCCTTTATATCACCCGATTATTCCGAAATTTGTGAACCGATTTCGACGGCTTGTTTGTTGGGAAAGGAGTACCTCAAAATTTGAAGAAAATATTCCACTTCAGGGTGGCAAATTAGGGCATGAATCCGATAATTGTATATCATCCGCTTTCCGTAAACTGATTTCAATAAAACTTGGCAAATAGATGACAAACTTTTAAGATTTTGCTTCATAAAAAAGCTATTATGTTGGACTCCGAATTTGTAACACTAATATTGACTTTTCGTATTAATGTATCGTTACTTAGTAAAAGAATTAGCTTGTTTGTAAAAAAATATAATTTGTTAGCTTATAAGGTACATGTAAAATTTAGTTGCTAAAAACCACACTTTAGTCTTGATCAACACCACTAAAACACTCAGGTAGCACGCCCATTTGGAAAATACCTACATATATCGACCAATACATTATTTTAATGCACTAACACAATACGTAATTCAGAAGAAAATACCAAGATAACCATCGCATTAGCGTAAGTCCATTACTTTATTGGATAGACATTCTATAAACATTCGAAGTGTACAATATAAACAATAGTTATTATTAATCGATGTCATAACTTAATTAAAATTGTAAGTGAAATGTACTTTCTACGTAATCTATAATAGTTGAACGCATACGTATTATCTACATTTCAACTAAAATGTGTTTTATGACCATTTATAAAGAAAGAGGTAAAGGTTTTGTGCTATTGAAGGAATTAACAACTAGAAAAGACAGCCATTTTAGTACCCAAGCGACAATAAATTTAGAAAAAGAAAAAACTTATACAAACTAATTACTGTACATAATAATAATAATAATAACGCACACTTTCAACATAGCCCCGCACTAGGGAAACCCTGTGTCACGAGTGCCATGGACACACACATAGACAACCACAAATTGCACACAAACTCACGAGAGACATAAATGTAGGCCATACAAATATTTCCCTCGGCGCGGGAATCGAACCTGGGACCTCTGCGTGACAGTCCGATATGGTAACCATTCGACCACGGAGGCAGTTATATAATAGTCGCCTTCTATAGTAGAAAATATGTATAATAACCCAACTTAACTTTTGAAATTGTATTTTTCAAAAAAATATTTATGTCGCATTAATTTCGATCTTGAAAATGATTGCTGAGAAAGTGGAGGGACCTCTTATAAGGAACCTCATACAATTTACGCGATCTTTGTTTAAAATAATTTACTAACATAGTTTATAAGTCAATTAGTAATTTAAATATGATTTACTTTGTCCGAAAATAAAAGACAAGTATCAAGTATGAAGCTTCATTCGCATCACGCGTCTTTTCATTTGGTCAAATATTTCTTATTTGGCAGTAATTGTTTCGGACGGATGTCGGACGGAGATCGAGAGTAGACCCCATGGATAGGCATGTCGCTTACCACAAGGCGCACGAATTGTTCGTCCCGTCACAAAAAATAACCCGTCACTGTGTGAGGAAATTTCAAAAGGATATATTAGATACCGAGCTAACACTAACCACCAGTGTGTGCAGCAGTGGTGTCAAAAGGCAAATGCGTCAGCATTTTAGGGTTCAAAACTAATTTGCCAGTCTTTATGCCATTTGGCAAGGTTTTTACCTTGTCAAAATTAGTCTTCAGTTTGAATAGCATTACGACAAATTGTTTCCATGTCTGTTCAATTCTAAATATGAAGTTAAACACGATTGCGATAAATTAAAGTTGAATCATTAATAGATTATTAAAATTAATTTTTTAACTCATAATTTAAAGCGATCACCATTGTATAGGTAAAAAAAATCTTTAATAATACATTTAATGAAAGTTATATTCATGGCACACGCGTTGGCACTTTCAAAAAGTTGGTCATCAAAATTTAAAAAAAAACACTTTACAAATAAAAATCAATGCAAAGCAATGTGCAATTACTAATTTGCACTTTTATTTGTATGTATGGGTATGTAAAGAATGTTTCTCTGGTGGACGCATTGACTTGGGTGAACTTTCTATAATAAAAATTAAATTGTTGTAAATGCTCTCACCTTAGAGGATGGAAAATAGTCTAGGCTATCACCGATTGATGTGTCTACTGGAGGGGCACAGGTGTATAGGTATATATGGAGGTCCATAATACACTACTTTATCTATTCCTAATTTAGTGTTGACATTATTCGTGGGTGGTGACCTTAGAGGATGGAAAGAGATAAAACTCTAAGGTGGTGACACAACTGAACTAGGAGTGCAGTAGTTTTACTGAAATCCGAAAACCGTTTACGTAATCTGTGGTTAACGGTGTTGGTTACACGTTAAGTTACTGTTTGTTAGTTAT